GAATCAGAATTCAATGATTAGATCATTAGAGATTAGAAAATAAGGAGAATGATTAACCAAAGTCTATTATATAATGTTGATTGGATCCTCTCACAATTTGGATTCGATTAGCATTACTGAAGATCACGGTTAAACAATTCGATTCAAGAAGAATAACCAAGTGTTAGTTGGGATTTGGGTGCATTAGATAATTTAGAGTTTATATAGTTTTAGGATTAACCAAGTCTACTCTGTAATGATGATTGAATCCTTTCACAAACTGGATTCGATAAGCATTACACAAGAAATGGTTAAACCATTACATAGACTACTTACTAACTTACAACAAAGTGATCATTAGTTGTGATTTGGGTTCATTAGATGATCTGGAGTTTAGATTTGGGTTCATTAGATAATCTATAGTTTATACAGTTTTATGAATTAGCATAAACAAAGTGAACATTCATGTTGAACATAGCTAGAATAGAATCACATTGACCATTACCTTTAACCATTACATAAACTACTTACAACAGTGCCATTTTCAAAGAACAGAATCACACTAACCATTAACATTTAGCAGACACATTGAGTTCTTAGTTTTAATGGAGCGTAATCAAATTGATCAGTAGTATACGATGGTTACTTCAAAGGTGATTAGTCTACAATTACTAAACTAGGGTAATAATATTACACACTAAGAACAAACATCAACAACCAAGAACCATCAAAGAAGGATTGGCGATTTACCTCAGCAGAATGCAGTTGAAGAACCAGTTGCGAGACGAGACTCCTAAATAGCAAGCTATAAAAACAAAAGATGAAATTTGGATGATTAGGGATTTATTGATTTTGTCGAACTAAGCATGCACCAACATCAATTAATGAAACTAACTAATGTCTAACAAACTTACTGAGAATGCAACAAAGTGGAGTTCCGAAATCTGGAAGGCTAGGGTTTCTGGATTTTGGGTTCGATGAACTGCATATGAACAAAATGACGAAGTTAATCACCTATTTATACGTCTATAAGAAAAATTGGATTAAGGTAATAAAGAACTGAATACTTATCTCGATCTGGGAAAGAAATCCTTTGCATGCACGATCCAGAGAAGATTTCTGTCGATTGAGACATTTTCGGAGTTTGGAGGGTTGATTTACTGTAAGATGTAGTGTTATTGATGATGGGATCGTCGATTTGCGAGGGAGAATAGTTGAGAAAGAAGGAGAAATCAGCAGAATCGAAGGGATTTGGGGAGGAAATCGGCGATTCGCCTCGGATGGGTTGAGAGCAAATCGGGGGAACAAGGGCGGCGTCTGATGAAAATGGCCTCACCACAAACCCTAACCGCAAAAATGAAGCCTTTAATATGCGCAGCAAACGACGTCGTTTGCTATCGGGGTGGATACAGGGCGGGGATCCCAGAATCCGTGCCCAGCCCATCACCGCGCAAGACGAGTCGCGGGTATACCCGTCACCGCGAATCTCACCGGCCTCGCGGGTTTAAGCCCATTAGTTGCGGGCGGGCCCGACGGATATCCAAAGTCCGCGGGCCCATTGCCGAGCCTATTTACAAGTAAAACACTAAATTCACATTGAGAATCTCAATATCTGCTTAGTATTAAAAATAATTTAGTATTTTGAATAATCAAAATGTAAATTGTGAAATCGCCCCTCAGAAATTACATTGGATTATCACCATGTTCCTGGTAGGGCTGCAAATGAGCCAAGCTACTCGCGAGCAACTCGAGGCTCGAATCGGGAAAAGCTCGTTCGAAACTCGATTCGTTTACTGACAAGCCAAGCTTGAGTCTAGCTTTGTTCAGCTCGTGAAGCTCGCGAGCTAGCTCGTCTCGGTGGCTTGTTGAGCTCAACTCGTGAGTTGGCTCATTTAGAGCTCATCAGATGTCTCAACATTGTGGTTTTGAGGGCCAACTTGATCACTGACTTATGGACTAATCGATCTAATTTGGACTTTCATAATTCATAGGATTGTTAATTATATATCTCACGTCATGTGAAGTTTAACATGTTGAACATGTAAGAAAATATGCCTTATTTTTAATTCTATAAAGAAATTATGTACAAAATTGTTTCGATACTATGAAATAACATGATTTGAACTAGTAAAAATTTATTAACTAAACAAATCGGGGGAACAAGGGCGGCGTCTGATGAAAATGGCCTCACCACAAACCCTAACCCCAAAAATGAAGCCTTTTATATGCGCAGCAAACGACGTCGTTTGCTATCGGGGTGGATACAGGGCGGGGATCCCAGAATCCGTGCCCAGCCCATCACCGCGCAAGACGAGTCGCGGGTATACCCGTCACCGCGAATCTCACCGGCCTCGCGGGTTTAAGCCCATTAGTTGCGGGCGGGCCCGACGGATATCCAAAGTCCGCGGGCCCATTGCCGAGCCTATTTACAAGTAAAACACTAAATTCACATTGAGAATCTCAATATCTGCTTAGTATTAAAAATAATTTAGTATTTTGAATAATCAAAATGTAAATTGTGAAATCGCCCCTCAGAAATTACATTGGATTATCACCATGTTCCTGGTAGGGCTGCAAATGAGCCAAGCTACTCGCGAGCAACTCGAGGCTCGAATCGGGAAAAGCTCGTTCGAAACTCGATTCGTTTACTGACAAGCCAAGCTTGAGTCTAGCTTTGTTCAGCTCGTGAAGCTCGCGAGCTAGCTCGACTCGGTGGCTTGTTGAGCTCAACTCGTGAGTTGGCTCATTTAGAGCTCATCAGATGTCTCAACATTGTGGTTTTGAGGGCCAACTTGATCACTGACTTATGGACTAATCGATCTAATTTGGACTTTCATAATTCATAGGATTGTTAAATTATATATCTCACATCATGTGAAGTTTAACATGTTGAACATGTAAGAAAATATGCCTTATTTTTAATTCTATAAAGAAATTATGTACAAAATTGTTTCGATACTATGAAATAACATGATTTGAACTAGTAAAAATTTATTAACTAAACAATATGACACCTAAAAATTATAATATAAGATTAATTAATGTTGAACATTTGATTTTTTTTTTTTTTATCGCTACATCAATCACATGTACCATACAGGACATACAAAATGAATGTATTAAATACGATCTGAGAATTTAGTAAACAAGCCTAGCTCGAACTCGACTCGACTTGGCTCATTAATAAATGGCTCGGGCTCGAGCTCGGCTCATTTGTTAACGAGTCAAGCTCAAACTTGGGTAAAACTCGGCTCAGCTCGGCTCATTTACAGCCCTAGTTCCTGGGCAGCGAAGCGCGAATCCAAGGCCCATCCTCATAGTGAAAGCATAATCGAATTAGAAACTGGGCCTAACCAGATTAGAGTTTCTATTGTGGGCCTAAAACAGGCCCGAGGTTGTGTTTCCTCAGCTCCGGCCACGAGTCCGAGAAAAATCTATTACGCGACTGTCTACAGTAATCTAACTAGCTTGTAACTCGACCCGTTGGTCGGAGGAGCTGAGCCGAATATTGAATTATTGGGATAACCCGTAGATTCAACCATTAAGCTAAATTGGTCTAATGGTGAGTACCGCCTAGCATATCCCTAATAATCATACCAAAGTGAATATATTGGAACATAAACAGTACATCAAAAGTTGGTACAACCATGAAGTTAGACCATTAAAAACATACCAATGAAATTGAATAGCATCGAAAAACTTCAACTTCATTACATAATTACATGAGATCAGAAAGAGAACACCATTAATTTGATTTATAAAACTTTCATCTTGTCGTCATTGTGCTTTCTGGTTTTTGTCAGGCCATGATAAAATCTAAGGAAATCAAGAACGAACAACACGATTTGGGATAGGAACCGCCGTTGTCGTATTCCTAGAGAATGGTGGTAAACACGGACTCACCTGCCAAACTGGTTTGGATTGAGATTTTTATCGGGTATCAGGGAACCATGTGATTATAAATTAGACTTGATCAAAACGGGCCAAAACTTAAAATTCAGCCTGTTTGACCGACCCATGCAAAATTCTAATTATTCGTTACTTTTAAACTTTCTATTTGAAAATAAAAAATAGTGAAAGAAAATAGATGACTGCAATTCGCCATTTGCACATCACTTATTCGGGAATAAAACCATAGAAATTCAAAAGAAACTGAAAATGTTTAGGATCGTTTTAATGTTTAAAATAACCAAATAGATCTTTCTGTTTAGTTTTTTACTAACAAATACCAAACGATTCCCTATAAAATACACTATAATTTTATCATTATGATATCAAATAATTATATAATATATATTTGAAATGATAAAAATTGGACTAATTGGGTTGGTCGAGATTGAACCATTGAATAACTTTAAACTACATTATATTTTAGCCACTAAAATATAAAATAATATAATAATATATATTATGCTAGAGAAAATAGCTTGTTTTAGAATGTCAAACCAATGATGTTCATTTGTTTTACTTGATGGCCAAATCCGGTGTAGGTCAGGCCCATTCAACTCTTTTATTTTATGGTTAGCGGTTAGCCCTTTAGATACCATGCATTAGTTTATTATTAATTTTTTTTTTTTAGCATAAAAAGAAGTATTGTTTTTGCCTTTTCATATATATTTTATCACCACGGAGAAATACAAGGGGTTAAAGAAAAAAATTGACACTCCTGAACCCGTTTAAATCCGCATGTGTACGGTAAGTTGGCCCGTTCCACAGAGGAAAGAGAAAAAAAAATTAACACTACCTATTCTACCCTTCCTACAAACGCTCATGGAGCAGGGAATTTGAAATGGGGGAAGGGGTTTTTCCTCCCTGCTATTATATGTTTTTGATTTAAAAAAATGCAACAAATGTACTTAGTGTGATTGGTTATGTTCCTTGTTTTTCTTTAAAATGGACATGGTTCGAATCCCAGTATGTGTCTTTTTAATGAATAAAAAAAAGTAATTGTGAAGACCAAAATGTGTATCTGTCTTTTTAATGAATAAAAAAAAGTAATTGTGAAGACCAAAATGTGTATCCTACTTTCACTCTCGTTGCAGGAAATTTGAAATGGGCCTCTCGTTTTTCCTGTATTATATTATGTGTAGATGGAAGAAACAAACTGGTTTCCCGGCGCCAGCGGCTGTACACCGCCGCCGTGGGAGATAAACCCTTCACCTCGCCGGGAAAACAGAAAAGGGAAGCGGCAGCGGAAGCGAAGAACAGAAGCCACGACGGCTGGTTGCAACCTTTTCTTTTCCGGTCCAGCCACACTGCCAACACATTCTTCCTAAATGGCTAAAGGTCAAGCCCTAAGCTCCTTTTTCCGTGTCGCAGTACTACGTTCCAAAACCCCCTCCGCCGGCCCCGTTGCCGTTCCTCCGACCACTACCAACGATGGTCTACAACTTTGCGCTCCCATCATCAACGCCTGCTCTGCCACCAAGCGCTCTGCTAAAACCTCGAAGAAATGCAGTACTCCTGCCCTCGCGACCCCCTCCTCCGCCGCCACCATCGCAGCCTGCTGCTCCCCAGCATCTTCCTCGACGACCGAAGGCTCCGTTAAAACCCTAAAGAAATGCTCCCTTAAATCAAAGCAGAATCCTGCTTCAGCTAGTTCCACGCTGCCCGATAGCAAGATGGAAGCTTCCAGTAACGGCTCAGGTACAGGTTGGTTCCCTCTGGGCGCCAAAATCGCATGAATGATTCTGATGGACTGTATTCTGTTACATGTAGATGATGCCCCACTTGAGCTGACAGGGGACCTAACGACCATAATGATCGGTATGTTCTTCATTTCCTCATCAAATTTCTTCTTGGGGATTCTAATTTTACTAGCTGGGCAGCGCGATCCCACGAGCCATTGTAGTATAGAGGATTGTGGGAGGTAGAACGTATCATTATGGTAGTATTTAATACTAATACTATTGATGGAGTATTGACTAGAGAACTACGAACACTCTTCAATAGCTAACTAGGAAGATATCATCATTCCAAATCATGAACTCATTATGACTTGGGGTATACGAATATATGGAATAGCTTTGAAATCTGTTTATCAAATGTCATTTTTGCAGATACTGTTTCAGATCTCTGGCCCAATTCAAAGGGAGCCAGTGAAGAGACATCTTCAGAAATTAGATTGGATATCCCTTTTTTTCCTAATCTCACAAGTGCAGATATCTCTTCACAACGGAAAGACGTGAGACGTGCGAGTAAAGATAAATTCATCTTCAGCTCTGGTCAGGAACATCATGTTCAGCGGATAGCCAGAACATGCGCCGAGAAGCTTGGACCAGAGCAGACCCTAAATGTATTTGGAAAGTTGCGGCAAGGAACAGGCGTAAAAGAGTATGATGCATTGATAAAGAGCTGCTTAAAGATAGCCAGGGAAACTAAAGATGATGAGATTATCTCGAAGCAAATGTCTGTGTGCTTTCATCTCCTCACCATGATGAAGGAACAAGGTTTCCAGATTGAAGAAAATACCTATGGACCTGTGCTTTTGTACCTTATTGATAAGAGCATGGTTCAAGAATTTCATTCTCTTCATCAAACCATTAAAACTGAGAACCCTAGCTCTCTTGCAAGATTAGGTTACTATGAGATGCTGCAATATATTAGAGTTGGTGATGAGCAAAAGATTCAAGAACTCTGCAGTGCAATATCTCTTGGTTGCGAAACTAAGAATCTCAGGATACATGGTAAGTGGCTTGTGCTTTAGCAGTTTCAGAAAAATAATCCAATTTTTCTTAAGGATTCTCTCAGTTCCTGTAAAAGTTGATACATGTGATTGTGTGGTTGCAGAAAATTATTTTATAGCACTTTGTGAAAGTAACCGGAAGAATGATATTTTGCCACTGTTGGACGTTATTGATGTAACAAGATTTGAGTCAGTAGAGCATATTTCCACGATCTTTAATACCTTTGGAAGGTTGTCTCTGGAGTCCTCCGCGATGAAGTTCCTTTTGGCATGCAAAAGTTGTGGTAAGTTAAGTTATCTCTTCCTTGCCACGTTATTGTCACGCATCTAGCAGTGGCGCCATATAGTAACTGCTAACTACCAAATTAAGAAGTAAGTTACCCTAATTTCTGAGAAGTATGAGAACTTTTGGGGTACAAATTTACTGAAGTGATATTATTGGTTTTCACTGTTGAAATTAAACTATTGCTTTCGAACTGCATTTTGGTATGATCTTATATACTTTTATTATAAACGAGTGAAAAGTTCAAGAGGCAGTTCTACTGGAGCCTCGTATGTAAATGAATTCTATTATAAAGAGAAAATCTCATTTGGTTTATATGACTCTTATTAAGGACCAAGGGCACTAAATCCCCATAAGTTTGCCCGAGCTTTGAGCCTTGTTTGTAAATTAATTCTATTCCTGGTTGAATGCAGATAATGATGCAGAAAAAATCTCAACTCTTGTCTGTAGTTATGCTACTGGAATTCCAAATTTAGAGGTGGGGATTTTACATGAATGTTGCTTGTAATGTCTCTGGCCATAATGTTATGAGGTGCATCTAAAAGCAGTTCTCTTTGTATAGTTGGCCCTCTGTTTATTTGGATGTCACTTGATAGCTGATTGCATTTAAAGCCTATATTCTATTTGTTTCATCACCCAGAAGCTCTGCATTTACAGTGTTATGCAAAAGAACTTCGGTTGGCTACATCTCTCTTTTAAAATATGTGCAATATCTTATGGACGCACTGAAATAAACATACTCTCTCTCTTAGTTACCTACTTTATTTATTGTACTTTAGAAGGTGTGCTAATTTTGATGGGTTATTGAAGGTTGAGGATGTCATTTTAAAGTTCAAAGAGCTGCACTCAGAACTGGGCATAAAACCTTCTATGGGTTCTTATGAGCAGCTCATAGCTTACTGCTGTGATAAACTCAAGGTACGATTTGATGTTGTGCCCAAGCTGTGATCGTTTTGGATTCTAATCTATTCAAGAAATGGATACTTGGACTTCAGGCTGCTGCTCGATAATTGGACTCCAATTACTCTATGAATTAACTTAATCTTTTGAACTTTTATCTGCTCTTTCCAGGATTTTACCCTTTACTGATTCCCTATTGTTGTTATACAGGTTTACGTTGCTCTTGACTTGGTCGACCAAATATATGAAGATCAATTATCCTTATCCATGGACACGTTTTGTAAACTACTGGATGCCATAGATGAAAGCTCAGACTATATTCTGGTAATTGCCTGGTTAAGACAATTTTTGCCCATTGATAGTCATTGTTTCATTACCAGTGAGTAATTTTTATGCGCCCTTGAGCCAGGAAACTTCGGGTGCAATTTTTTGCTTGCTTTTTTTTAGTTGATAGTTGATCATTGGGTTTTTAAAGCTTTTCCAGGTATTTTATCCTATATTTCATGAAGTTGCGTTTTGGAGTTCTAATGTGTCGATTAGGAATGCCACTTCTACCTCTGTTACTTGTATAGAAAGTTTTGAGTAATTGTAGTTTAAACTGGCAATATATTAATGCCTTGTCTTCCTTTTGTTTGGTTAACAGGCCACCTTTCCAGTGATCATTTGACTAGTGTTTATAACTATTGGCGCTTATTTATGTTGCTTTGTTTTTCCTTGTTCAATTAAGGTCCGGAGGATGTACTCCTTGCTGAGCAATCATGATTTGCAACCAACTATTGATACATTCAGGAAATTGATAACCTTGAGTGTGAGGATAAAGGACGTAAGTTCCTACTCTTTTTGGTCTATATATTTGTACTTCTGGTATCCTTCTTTTTTACTCTTAGTTATCCTTCTCTTTCCTTGGGTGTATAGTTTCTTTATTGGTTTTCTGCAACCTTGTTTCAATAACGCAGTTTGACCTGGCATATGCCATGCTTGAAGATCTGAAGAACAGGGGATTCAAACCTACAGCAACCATGTTTAACGTTATAATGGGAGGATTTTTCCGGCAGGTGATTCTTCCTACCTATATTACCTTTTACTTTTACTAGTGGACAAATGACAACTATTAGTTAACAAAGTTAACTATTAGCTTGTGGACCTTTTTAGCTATGCTAGTCTGCTCAAGTTTCAAGATGAGATGCAGGGGGCTCAAATGATATTTATTGGAGGAAATAACTTCGTTTTTAGTTGCAATGTTACTTGTCAACATACTAATGCTAATAAGAACTTCTAAGTGCTGCCCATTGACCTCGCAGCCAGTGCTGTCATTGTTAATTGTTAGTTTGATTAGGTGGCTTCATTGATGCCTGGCCTGCCAAAACTGTTTTCAATGTCAGTGTTTATGGTCTCTATATTCAACTAACTTCTAGCAAAATGTCTTGCAGAAGAATACGTATAGTGCACTGAAGGTTCTGAAGGACATGGAGCTCGCGGATGTAAAACCAGATTCTCAGACCTACAGCTATTTGATAGGCAATTGTGTGAGTGAAGATCAAATTGTAAAGGTAGCATTGCTTTCTCAAACCTACATGAATGATAAAATTGGCACATTCTTACAGCACTGGGTATAATGCATGAAGATGATTCATGTGAAATTCCATGTTTATTGTTTTGGTTAGTATCACGAAAAGATGCAGCTTGATGTTGTTAAATCTACAAAGCATGTTCCAATGGCGCTTGTCAATGCATATGCAGCGTCTGGAAATTTTGAGAAAGCAAAACAGGTATTGATAAAGGCTTTTACTTTACTCATGTTCAGAAAAAAGACACTTCATATCTATTTTGTACCATTGATATCATGGACGGTAGGTACTATTGGACAAAACCACTGTAGATGAGGACGTTAAAAGTGTTCTCGTATCTGCTCTGGCATGCCATGGACAATTTTTTGATGCACTTGCTATATACAAGGAATTTAAGGATGCAGGAAACAATATAACGTCAAAAGCTGTCAGAAATCTAATTGTAAGTTCACTTATGAAGGGAAACCAAATTTGTTTTTGTAATTGTCACATATGTCCAGGACTCGTGACCTCTGTTATATATAATCTGTTTACTCATAGGAGCAATTTCCATCTGATGGAGAGATAAGCGAGTTACTTGCACTGTTGGAAGAAGTGCATGATTCTGAGTATTGGGTAGATGCATGTTGCAGGGTTGTGATACATTGTATTCGTAATAAGCATTCCAGGTAAACAACAATCAGATTACTTGAGAATGTTTTTATTTTCTTTAGTATCCTTCTCTTGCTGGTTAAAGCTAATAATATCCTTCATATTCAGTTGTCTTTATGATTTGCTCAAACTACTCATGGAGAAATTTTCAGACGACGAAGTCACAATGGAAGTGCTATTTGATGAGGTTTGATTTCCTGGCCATTACTACCTTGTCATCTGCTCACAATGTATTTAGTTTGAAAATGATGGTCTTTCCAGTTATCTGTCTACGGCTGTGTTGTCTTGGTTGTCTCCAGCCATTTCTTTTTTCAGTTGTATTCATTGTCGATTTCTCTAAATGCTGTCAACACCATTGACTGACATTATGATCTTCTCTATTGTTTATATCAAAATCTTGCAGTTCTTTGCAACTATCGCTGATACAGAACGACCAGACTTAGAGATCGGATTAAAGTTGCTAGGAATAATCAAATGTGAACTTGGTGTAAGCCCTTCCCGAAAAAGTCTTGATTTTCTTTTGCATACTTGCGGCAGGGCCAAGGACTTGGCTCATGCACGTTCCGTGTGGAAAGAGTATGAACTGGCTGGTCTTCCTTACAATGTCTTGAGTTATTTGAGGTATGTTCCTTAAGTAGGAATGACACAGATCTCTGCCTGCTACATTGTCTCTGAAATTATTCCCTTTTTTTTTTTTTTTTTTGCTTGTGCAGGATGTACCAAGTTCTTCTGGCTTGTGGAAGCCACACCACTGCCAAAAGCTTCCTAACTAAAATACCAAAAGACGACCCTCACGTCCGTATGATTATTGTAGCGTGTCAGGTAACCTACAAATCTAAACCCAGAAAAAAGTAGAAGACAATAGGGTTAGTTCGTCCTGTCCATTGAAATAGCCGTCCTGACTTCAAACCACTCAGAGATGAGATGGCAATTCTTTTAGGGGAACCTTGATGGAAAGAACAAGCCGTCGGGTGCCCAGGAACAAGTATAGAATAGATCTATTAACTTCCTGTTAGTGATTTTGTATACCCTCAGTTTAGGGACACTTGAAGTGTTGATAGTCCCTGAACAAGTCACATGATGTACTTCAAAATTCCAAATACAAGTGATGAGAAATCTTAATTAGAAAATGTTTTTGAGTATCGATCTGATATGATTCCTTTACATGTTTTCACATACATAATCGAATTCGTGAGTACTCAAGCACGAGAGCCCTCTCTTTGTACCATGTTGAGAATGATTTCATTCTAATGGCTCGAGTCGATCTCATACTGTTTCTTTTAAGCCTGCCAAGAGAATCCCTGAGCTACAAGAAATGATCACGTTCGTCTTCGGCATCTCTGTTGTGTTGTTTATTATAACCAAATCCCTACTCTTAACATGAATCATTTGGTCTCCCCCATGATCAAGGTTTTCTTTACATGAAAAAGCAAGCACATGTATCAAAAGGAATTGGCAACAAGAATAGCCTGCCTGCACCTAGCTTTAGCCTGCTCCAGCCTCTCCTCCAGAGTCTCCTCCTTCACAGCAGCTTTCACCATGGCCAAATCCATCTCCATCAGCCTCAAAACTCTGAACAGCTCAGTGACCATCCTCTCTTCCACTTTGCCTTCATCCTTGAGCAACTCGGCCTCTTCCCTTGCCCTCTCTGCCACTATCTCCCCGACCTTCGCCAGCAGCTGAGTGGAACCAAACTCCCTCTCCATTAGCCCTTCCAGCTTCTCCAGGAAATCCATTATCATGTACCCTACTGGTTTCTCCACCTTGATCTCTTTCGTCCTCCTCCATCCGACCTCGTAGTTCGGCGGCGGCCCGTCCGGCTTCAGCAGATCGCTCTGGCTCTTCCTTCTCTCCCTGAGGATCTCGGACCTCCGCCGCTTCTCGATGGGGAAGTTGCTGTTGTTTAGGGTCGTGGAGAAGGGAAGTGCGGGTTCCGGGAGCGAGCCGTTGGCTGTTGTGGTTGCGTTGTCGAGGGAGGTGTCGTTGGGCTCTGAGTTTGCTGCGGCGCCGGCGCCGGCGCCGTTGCTGGTGCTGGTGCAGTTGATCGGTCTGATTGCTGGTGGGTTTTGACTCTTTTGTGCCATCAGGGTGAAGACTGGTAGTGGTGGTTTGCTGCAGAAACTGTTGGATTGAAGAAGAGGGATCAGTGATGAGAGGGAGGGAATGTGAGTGGAAGCCATTAGAGTGGCACCAACCGGCGAAGGGACGATGGAGAAAGGAGGAGGAAAAAGATAAGGTTTTATACTTTTCTGGTCGTTTGCGCCATTGAACGAGTGGAAGATATCTACGGAGTGTGTCTGCATGAGGGTGAGACGCAGTTTATGGTTTTGTTATTTTCTTTGTTATTTTTTTTTTCATAGAAATCCTTGCGGATTAACTAGTTAAGCACGAGATAGTCACAATGTAACGACTTTTTTGTGAAATGATCGTCAAAGTAAATAAGAACAATTGAAACGAACACTACAAGAGTCAGAGTAGCATAAGGCATTACGTGCCACAACTTGGGCAACCCGATTCGCTTCTCTAAGAGTAAAAGCAACAGAAACTAGCGGCAGTTCTTGTAACATAAAGATGACTTCTCGTAAGATAGCTCCCACAAGGGCATTGTTGGCATCAGAAGTCGTCAAATGTTGTACAACTACAAGAGCATCACTTGTGATCACGACTGGTCGATCCTGCCACTACCATTGTGGAAGTAATAATAGTGCTTCTCTAATTGCCAACGCCTCCATGATCTTAGGATGAAAAAGGCATGGGAAGAAACCACCCATTGCAAAAACTGGCACATTCTGATCAAAACCCACCACGCCAATTGCGCCATGAGTCGGAGCACTGGTCGCCCCATCAACTGCAAAGCAGAAAGTAGATTGAAGCGTCGAATGAGGATGTGACTGAGGTGTGGGTGGCGGCGGAGGCGACTGAGTGGGAAGGACGGCAATTTGATGAGAGGCATGATGAGATAATAGGTGACGGTACAAGGCAGCCGTGGTAAATTGTGCATAGGGTGGAAAGACAACATTATTCCGCCCTTTCCAAATCCGCCAAAAATAGAGGACCCAATTAATTATGGTGGCATGATCGGATTTGAGAATGATGTGTCTTAAAAAGATTAATGCGTGTTTGGAAAAATTCCCGGAGGCAGTTGTAAGCTACACCGTTGGCGGAAAGCTACCGCCACACGACACGCAAGGAATAAATGTTCCAGCGATTCTCCCTCATCCGAACCACAAACATGGCATGAATCTTCTACCTACACCCCATGTCGGGCAAGATCCTTCCTAACCGGAAGGGTTCTTAGTAAAATCCGCCAAAGGAAAAGCTTCAATTTGGGAGCAAGAGGAAGACCCCAAAGTCGAGGCCATAAAGTAGGATCAAGAGGAGAAGCCTAGTCCACTGTACCACGAGCCCGTGAGATGGGAGGAAAAATAGTCGCCAACTGATAAGCTGACTTAACCGTAAATAAACCATGTGGATCAAAATGCCAAATTAATTTATCCGGGCAAAAGATTCGTGGCAAAGGTATGCGAATGATAATCCTAATGGAATCCGGCGTGAAGGACTCTCCAAGTCGGTGATGGTCCCAAGAACGATGAATGGGAGAGATGAAGTAGGAGAGTAATCGAGGATACTGATCTGGAGTGGGCAGCACCACTGGTCCAAAACTTGGGAGAGTTGGAACCCAAGGATCCGTCAAAGCACAATTGAAGAACCAGCACCAACCTCCCAATGCAAACCGCGGATTAGCAATGCCCGGCCATGAAGAAGTGATTGTCATGCCCAAGATGAATTAGAACCCACACCGGCATTCAAGAAACTCGTATGATGAAAGTATCGTCCTTTTAAGACCCGCAAAACTAGAGAATTGAGATCTTGTAAAATGTGCCAGCATTGCTTGGCAAGCAGCGCTTGATTAAAAGCCTCAAAATCCCTGAAGCCCAAACCACCATCCCCTTTTGGTTTACACAGATTTCTCCAAGATACCCAAGGAAAATGTCTTTCAGTCCCTTGTTGACCCCACCAAAACCGTGCAATCATACGATTTAAAGCCCGACAGAGCTCCTATGGAAGTCGAAAACATGACATTGCATAAACAGGTAGGGCCGACACGACTGGTTTAAGGGATTTTTCCAGAAATAGCACTATTTTAAAAAAAAAAATCCAAAAATAGCACCTGGTAACATGATGTAAATGACCGTGATGCCTTGAAAATGAGTTGTGCTTGAAGGAAATCATCAAAATCACCCCACTAGTGTTGAATTGCAAAGTTCTTCACAATGAACTTGATGTTTTGACTGACTTGATGTGCTTTGAATGAGCAAACTCCATTAGCAACATTCTATTTTGTGAGGATAGTGTAACGACTTTTAGTGAAGTAGTTAGGTGGAGAACATTGACCATTCGACATGTTTGGATACCGTGCTTACTTGCATCAATTGTGAGCTTTTGATTTTGCAACGAGTCTCTCTGTTTTGATGGTTTTATGATGGGGTGAACTGTATCTTTATAAAATGGGAAAACACTACCTGGCAAGTAAAATATAAGGAAGTTGCCATAACAATTAAAGTGTGGGTAAAATACCAAAATCGTGTGAGGCAATCACTCATTGCAAATGGGGATGAGGAAAGATTCAATTGAGAATCGGTTCGCAACCGTACGATGTTGCTTATCAAGTACGATCCCCAGTTGAGTGAAGTGCCATTAGAGGATGTGAAATGACCCTCCACACGGACCGAGGAAAAGGAGTTAAAAGAAGCCCTTATGCGAGTGCTAAGAAGCAGAAATTGCTCTTGCTCGGTCACCGGTAGTAAGAAACAAATCCCACTTGTACTAAATACGACCTCTCGGCAAGCAAAAGCAGAAAGAGAGAAAGCCTCTCCTTGTCATAATAGGTAGTGATGTGCTTAAAGTAAAATCATGTTTGCAAAAGGCTTCCCCCATTAGTTTTTGAGACTCATGCATAATTAATTGCTTATGATTGGTGTGAGTAAGCCAGACTGTCCTCACGAGATATGCACCTCACTGATGTGGTTAGATTCTCCTAATAACTGTTGCACCATAAGTTGTTCATCCCCCACTACCGACGATCGAAATTGAGTGTTGCTATTTGAGTTTTTGATGGATTTGAGTCAGTTAATGGTAATGGTTGCAAAGAACTTGAGTGTGGGGTGAAAGGGTATGATCAATAAAGCACAACTCGTCCTTTAAGAAAGAAACTACCGATTACAACAAGAGTGCAAGGAAATTTTGTGTTTTGTTTTGAGTGTTTGAGTGTTGAGTCTGTGATGTGTCATTGTTTTGGATGGTTTTGTGTTTGTGTTGTTTGAGTCGTTGCTTAGGGACAAGCAAGTATTGAGTGTGGGGTTGTGATAATTGCCGAAAACATATTGATATTATGTGCTTAATGTGATTATTTCATGATATGTTTGAGACATATATTGCTTGTTTTAAGGCCAACTGACTCCGGAATGGTTATATGATCATTACCACCATGTATTAGAATGTTGATATATTTTAGGTGGAAAGATAGAAACTGTGGAAGTACAAGCAGACAAATAAGTCGAACACAAATCAAGTCTATCACCAAATCAATTTGGACCGGGTTCTTGAGCTAGTCCAATTGAAGTGCATTATTTTCCAATTTGGATCGGGACTTTGGTGGATTTATTGGGCCCGACCAATTAGAAGAAGCAGCTGGGCAGAGGAATTGGCCCAAGGGAATTATTTGAGGAGAGGGCGGCGGAACATAGAAAACTCTCTGGGAACCAAATTATTTGGGGGGACTTACAATATTTGGGAGGAAGATTGGGATACGTGCGTGGACAGGGAGCTGGGCGGATTTCTTAATAAAAAGGCACGAGGGAGGTAATTAAGGGAGGGGGGCGATTTCTTTGGAAAAAGGCAGAGGGGAGCAGAGAGCACAGCAAACGCTAATTCTCAATCGGTGATCAGTTTTTTTCAAGGATTGAGCTGAATTCAATGAGAGCGATTAGTTGGTTGGATTTTTTAAACCGAACTAGTTGTGTATTGTTGATTTAGAACATGATGAACAAAACCCTATCGATTTATCTTAATTTCGTCATGAACTAAACCCCAATTTCTGGGGGAAACACCATAGGATGTAGCTATTGCTTGATTTGATGGATTGATTTATGATTCTTTTCTTCCAATCTCTATTGCATGAGATTGCTTAATGCTTTGTGTTGACTGGCCACCAATACAATGATTTGTAGTTAATTAGGTTATTAGCGACAGTGAAACCCTATTAACTGAACATATTTCATGTGACATAGTAACTTATCGAAGCGACAGTGGATTAAATAAGGTGCTATGCGGTCTTAAATAGGATATCGATCTTCAGGCTAAATAATTAGGTCATTGAGCTACGACAGTAGGATTTGATTTAATTGTTTAGTACGTAGTAATTCCCGACAGGGATAGCTAGCACATTCGTGATATCCTGGCTGTAGAGGTATGGATTAAATTGATTGGAATATGTGAATTAATCTGGATAGGATAGGTAGTGAATCCCGGTGTTTCTCCCAGAGCTTTCTCCCATTGATTTTCTCCCGACCATTTTACTTTGCTTAATTAGTTTAATTATTTTGCTATTAGTTAATAATTTCGTCAACCAAATTATTTTCCACCTATAGTTTGCTCCACATAGTTGATAAATTATAAGGTTGTACCAGTTTTTTTTTTTTTTTTTTGACAATACCAGTCCCTGAGAGACGATACCCGGACTTTCCGGTTTTACTACGAGATAGGATTAAGGCATACGCTTTTGCCCTATCAGCACCCAACCCGAAAAATGCCAAAAATAGCACCCTTTCCCAAAAACCGCCACCCAAACCAGCGGTTTAGGCAAACACACTGGTAGGGTGCGGTTTTGCAAACCGCATATGGCCGGGGCGGTTTGGTTGCAAACCGCACCCCCACCATGCGGTTTGTAATATATATATTTTTTTCCAAAATAAATATCATAAGTGGACTTTGCACAACTGGTTTAGTCGTTTATTGTGTGCAAGAAGTCATGGGTTCGAATCCCCACCATCCCATTTGATTTTTTTTTTATTTTTCAGAGATTGAAAAAAGCAACATGTTGTGGGAGTGGTGGATCGAACCAAGATAATAAATATTTTACTAAATTTAGCACAATATCTACACCACTCAACCACAACTCTTCTCTTGAAACAATAATATATTGACAAACTTTTACTCCTCGAAAGCTAAAAATCCTTAATAACTTTAAACAAACATAACTTTGTGCTCCGAAACCCGAACGTCATGAATTTTTTTTTTATTTTGCATAACTTTATGAGGACTACAATTTTTACTAGTAATGAATTTTCAAAACAAGATTTATGCAAAATATTATTCCTCAAAAAGTTATGCAAAATAAAACAAAGTAGGAAAAATATTCCCGTTTGATAAATTGACCATTGTTCTATTTAATTATGGTACCTTGTTTATGATAGGGGCGAAGTATAGAAAGCAAAGAGCACTTCCATTTTCACCCAAGTAACCATGTGGTTGCGAGTGAAAGTATTATAGCTGATGAAATAATTTGAACATATAATCATTAGGCTTTCTTTTTTTGCAAATGACATCTTACCATTAGTTGTGTTTGATGTATTGGGCGATAATTGTACTCAATGGAAATGATTAAGTATATCAAATGATGATTCATATCATATGCGATCTATAAATCTCAGATTATGATGGTATTAATTTGAGTATCATTACTGAACAAGTGAGATGTATTAAACACCAAAGTCATAGTATAATGTTCCTGGATGCTATGCAGAGGCTAAAACTAGCATCCATTTATTCTTGAATAATATTGTAGTCCTCAAAAAGTTATGCAAAAAAAAAAAATTCATGACGTTCGGATTTTGGAGCACAAAGTTATGTTTGTTTAAAGTTATTGAGGATTTTTAGCTTTCGAGGAGTAAAAGTTTGTCAATATATTATTGTTTCAAGAGAAGAGTTGTAGTTGAGTGGTGTAGATGTTGTGCTAAATTTAATAAAGTAGTTATTCTCTTGGTTCGATCCACCACTCCCACAACATGTTGCTTTTTTCAATCTCTAAAAAATAAAAAAAATTCAAATGGGATGGTGGGGATTCGAACCCAGGACTTCTTGCACACAATAAATGACTAAACCAATTGTACCAAGTCCACTTGTGAAATTTATTTTAGAAAAAAAAATATATTATAAACCGCATGGTGGGGGTGCGGTTTGCAACCAAACCGCCCCGGCCCCATGCGGTTAGCATAACCGCACACTACCAGTGCGGTTTTCATAGAAGTGCGGTTTTCATAGAAAAACGCGCCCCCGGGGTGGGGTTTTTGCCTAAACCGCTGGTTTGGGTGGCGGTTTTTGGGAAATGGTGCTATTTTTGGCATTTTTTCGAGTTGGGTGCTATTTTTGGAATTTTTTTTTAAATAGTGCTATTTCTGGAAAAAAACCCCTGATTTAATCAGAACTTCCAATCCTGCTTGCGATAAACAACGTCGTTTCCAACCTTGGAGACGTTTAGCAACCGCTTCCTCAATGAATTGAAAAGTATCCCGCTTTGAATGATGGATGATGGAAGGAAGTCTAAGGTATCGATGACGTGTCCCAATGGCACCAACTTGCAGCGTGGTCCCAAATTGTCCCCTCTTGCGTTGTGGTATTTTTAGAGAACACCACTGCTGATTTTGCTAGATTAACCCCACTGGCCACTCATCCGTTCATAACGACGAAGCAGATCCAGTAATCGTTGACATTTGATCGGAGAAATCCGGAGAAAATGATATGCATCATCCGCAAAAAATAAATGTGAGAGCACCGAACAATCACTATTGAGACGGATACCCTTTAGCTCAGCACGAGCAATGGATTGCAACAGTAAAGCTGAAAAACCCTCCGTACAAATAGCGAAAAGTAATGGTGATAGAGGATCCCCTTGACGAAACTAAGAGATGGCCGAAAATACCCGTAAGAGGCGGCATTGAGAAGAACTGAAATGGAGGTCGTGGAGAGACAATTGTTATTTTCTTTGTTTTCATAAAGAATACCAGAAATTTTTCCAAAAAATTAAGTGGTGGACTGTTAATGGTTAATAATTATTAAATTGGTAATGATATGTTTATAAAATCACACATATATGATAAAGTTAATGTAAACCAGCTTTTTGGCCTGCGTGCCGCCCGGTAATAAACTAATGATTTAGTTTAAATCAATAATTTATAAAATTATTTGGATAAGATACATATATAATTTATACGTGATGTCTTAATCATTACGAATAACATATGTCATCCGTTTGTTTAAGTGATACAGATACATAGTAAATAATTATTTCTACATAAGGTTTACGTAGAGTTTAATCATCACAGAAAACTTACATATTATTAAATAAAATTTTTATAATGTGTGATCTAATAATAAAATCAAATTATTGTAACATTGATGAATTTTTAATTTATG